ATGTTCTCACCTCAAATGATTTTAAAACTTACTTTTATTGAACAACAGAAAATAGAACTTATAACTTAATACTCTGAGCTCCGTGAACGCTAACCTGGAGGCTGCTGCTGCTGCCGCAGTGCATGCTGGGACATCTGTCAATCTCAAGAATGGTAAGTCTGCTCTGATGCATACTGGGTAAAGAGGGAGGGGCGAGAGCAACATCCGGGGATTTTGTCCGTTCTCGGTCTGCTGTTCTTGTGAATTGGAAAAGTACTTGGAGGCTGGTGAGGTTTCACGAGTACATGAGAAAACACAAGTACACATATTGGAAAAACAGTAATACAGGGTTTTAATCAGAATTTTAAAGATAAGCAGTGAAGGAGCCTCTTCTATTTGTACGTGTTGGTTATTTTATAGTTGAGGAGCAACGAAAGAAAAGATCCTTCCTCCTGAGATTCCTCATAAATGTCAGTACCTGCAGGAGCTGCTAGTCAGCTGACCTTAAGATTAGAGAGGTCTGGTTTTGGCAAGGTGATTCAATCACTTAAAAAAATACACTGGGAACCTATGGAGGCCAGAGCAGGAGCAATATGTGTTATTTTTTTAGTAGCAGTTAAAAGACGTGCAGCAGCATTTTCCAGAGCAGAAACTGATTCACTCCAACATAAAGACCTTTATATTAATCCAGACAGGAGGAAATAAAAGCATGAATTACTGTTCCAAATTTGTATTTACAGAAAGGATTTTAGTTTTGGCTGACGCTTTATGTTATAAGAAACATCATTTAACATCTAAACTGACTGTCACATTTAAAATCACTGTCTAACTTTAAACCCAAATCAGTCACAGCTGATTTAAACTAGTTACTGCGTCAAAGGAGCGACCTTGGTTCAAACACGACCTCAGTTTTCTTATGTTTACAATTAGAAAGGTTCAGGGCTGACGGAGCTGCATTGTCTTCTAAACAGTCCATCAGGGATTTCACCAGGAAGCTGTGGGACACCACATCACTTTGAAATCATTTTTTACTTTTGTGACTTTAGGAAATAAAAAGCATATCTCCGAAACAGCTGCTCTGCTTGTTGTTAGCTGAATGGTTATGATGTCATACTTTCCCGCCATTATCTGAGATCCAGTTTTGAAGTTTTTTTTTTTTCACCTATCACTCTAGCTAAATCTCATTTAAAATAAAAGACAGAGTAACATTGTGTCCTTCTCAGGCCTTATTGCCACAGTGCCGATATTTCTAAACATCTTGATTGATGCATTGACTCTAGAGATAGAAAAGCTTGGTTGAACATCTCTTTTCCTTTATCCATTTTATTCATATTAAATCACATCTGCTGTAAAAAAACAACAACCCTATATGCTCTATAATAATTCCCATTATGAAGAACGTGGGGCCGTGTGGCAAATAGACGTAAGCTACTCATTAAAAGTTTTACTGTCATCAACTTTAGAAGTCTAACATGATTATTGCAGTCATTTAAAAAATCATCTGATTAGATTTCCCGTAACTGTAGCAATGGGAAATTTGGTAAAACGATTAACTTCTTAATCTGTTAGTTTTCCTCCTACAGAAAAATCCTACTTAAGTAAAATTGTAGTGTTGTTTTTTTTCTCCAAATTGCAGTTATGAGATGTTTATGCTGCTGTAATTGTGTTTTGGTCTCTCCCTGATCTTCACCAAGGCCTGCGACGTGTGGAGGGCACTTTGTCGAATCCCAGAAGGCTATAAATGTGGTGCAAATAGTAAAATATACTACAAGTGATTTAGATTTCTCTAAATGATCATTTTTTAGCATGATTTATAAAGCAAGCCTTGTGAATGATCTTTGCTAAGGTCTTAAGAATCAGGTTTTCCAAAACAGACCGTAAATGGTGGACTGGTTGTTTGGAAGTAAGTCTGCAGATAACCCAGTTTCTATCTTATTGGTGAGGAATTACACAAGGTCATAAACCGAAAAGGTTCTCAGGCTGTGGAATAACAGGGCTGATTTTTTCTTTCCTCCAGGAAACCTGTTCCTGAATCATTGTGTGTTTTGTCAGGGGGGAATTTCTGGGGGTGGGAGATGGCAGCCATCTTTAACCGCACTGGCGCTCCCAGGAATGATGTCAGTCCCTGGAGAAGTGCTTTGTAATCAATAAAGCGAGTCCTGGTGAATGCAGATGGGGCGTTAGTTTCTGGACAGAAGACAGCTGGGAGCGGTTCCCTTCCACTCCTGTTTCTCCTTACAGTAGTTTCCATTTTCTTGGTTTGATTGTTCACTTGTGCCAATAACCTCTTGTGCCAAGATTTTAGATAAGGACAGCTTGATCAGACATTATGTTATCAAATAGCTGACATGTTTTCCAGGTCTTCTTTGAGTTTCTTACCTGTGCCTGAAAAAGAAGCAACTTCTACAATATCTAGAAGATGCTTCGTTTTCTTTACCAAAGCGATTAAAGAAACTCGTTAACGCAAAGTCTACTGTGTATATAGCACATAGCTATATATTGCATAAAGCATTTTGTATGATTTATATTTTTTATAGCTAAATATTCTGTATATAAATCTAATTTGTTGAAGTCAAATTCCTGGTAAGTGCAAACCTACTTGGAAATAAACTTGATTCTGATTCTGATATTTTACTAGTTTATGCTAATGAGCAGGAATTGTAATTCTTCCCCTTTAAATATGAAATATTGAAATAAACATTGTAATAATAGGTAATGATTAAAGAAAATGATTGAGGCCATGTTTTGAATCCATAAACTTTCAAATAATGTTACAGCTAAGGCAAAAGGATAGCAAAATGCTAGTTTTAAGAAATAATATTTGCCTTTGGCTTATTGTTTTTATTCTGGCAAACTCCTCCTATAAAAAGAGAGTTTTTAAAACCCGTCCCAAAAAGACCAAAAACACAAATTAAAAGACTAAAAATCGTCTTTAGTCTTGAGCATTCCATAAAAAAGTGGAACACATTTTCAGACGGGCCGCAGAAAGGACACTCGTTTAAAACACCCCGATTAATAACCAGGAAAAAAAAGTTTGTGGCGATGGCACAGTGTAAAATCCTCCATTGGAGTTCACCAGTATTTTTTTTTATTGGAGGCTTGTATAAAGTATATAACCATTCTCTGTGGGTCCAGGTTGGAGAGCAGAGGTCCCCAAAAGATAACAGGAATTCGATTTTTAAATGTTTTAGTTAGTGATTCCAATGATGCATCAAAATAATTAGAGGAATGGGTTCACTTTAAGAAAAGTAGTAGGATATTCTAAGCAGAGCCCAGAGTTAAAAGCATTATAAATCTGTCAGGCCTACTGAACAAGGAGCTTTTGGTATTTTTTTTTCTCCTATTAAAACTTTGTCCATGTCAGAGATGCAGTATCAAACTCCCACCAAACCAAAATAAAGAGAGCCCAAATAGTCAAAAGTTTAAGATGCTTAATCCATGAAAATATTTATATTAAAGCAAAACTAGTAAGATTTTTAGTGTTTTTCTCCCAATGATACGGAAGTTCTGCAAGGCAGGAGAAAAAAAAAGAAATTGGAAAAGAAAAGTTTGAAGTTTTTTTTTTTTTTCTTCTATTATTTTCTGCCCTAAAAGGCAACAGAGAAGAAAAAGTCTGGAATAGAAAAGTTTGAAGTTTATTTTTTTTTTACAGTTGAAGAATACAGCCTTGAGTGCGAGTCTTATTACATCAGTGCCTCTAGTGAAATAATTCATTATTACAAAAGTACAATGAGAACGATGTGGGTTTGTTTTTTTTACTTGCCTTTCAGGGCAGAAAATAATACGAGAAAAAATAAATACTTCAAACGTTTCTATTCCAGATTTTCCTTGCCTTTCGGGGCTGCCGTACACTGGACATGTCCCACACTGCAAAAAATGTAAATCTAAATAAGTCAATTTTTTCTCGAAATAACTGCATTTGTTCTTAAATTAAGGAGCTAAGTGAAACACTTTGCAAATGGAATAAGACAATTTACTTTTAAAATAAGAAAAAAACAATTGCATTGTCTTGTTTCAAGTGCCTGTTATCTAATGATCTTATTTTAAAAGTAAACATATTTATTCCATTGGCAGATCATATCACCTAGATCTTATTCACCCACTCAAATTAAGGGTAAATACATTTAAGACATTTTTTATTATTTCTAGATCATTTTACATTCATTCCAAACTTTTATAAAACATCTCCACTTAAAAGTTTGAGCTAAAAATATCTGTTTCTTTTGTCTTACATATTATACGCTAAATTATACTTGATTCGTTCATGAACTACACTTTAATTGTTAGGAAAAAAGCTAATAAAATATAAGTGTTCTGATGATCTCAGTGATAATTTTAGCAGCAGACATTTTCATTCTCCGTAAATTCCTCAACATCCTTTGTGTGGTTTTCAGCAGTAATGAGAAATATCTTGCTGCTTGGATCATTCAGGAGGACAGAGCCTCTTCATTGTCCTCTGCTCTGTCAAACACACCCCATGCTTATTGTATAAACAGCATCTGTCTGCCTGTTTCACCCCCTGCTGATCTCATGTTTAGTTCAATGAGGCTCAGTTTAAACATATAACTGTATGATGGTTGAACCTGTACAAACATGTACATTTTATGATAAACCAGATGTTCCACACAGCTTTGTTTTTTTGTTTCCACTTGAATTATATCATGACACGCTGCTGACAGCCTTCCATTGGTTAGAAGTTAATTACGCTGGACAAAAGATCTAGAAATGTCTTAGATTAAGTGTATTTATGCTTAATTTGAATAGGTAAATGAGTTTGCCAATGGATTGAGTATTTTTACTCCTAAAATAGGATAATTAGATAATATGCACTTGAAATAAGACGATGCAATTGTGTTTTCTTATTTTAAGTTTAAATTGTCTTGTTCCATTTGCTAAATGTCTCTTTTTTCTCCTCAATCCAAGAACAAATGCACTTATTTTAAGGAAAAATGAGATTTAGATTTTTTTTTTCCAGTTTCAAATCACATTAGTGAAATAGTTTTTCCTTTTTCTATCTGTAGGATTTCGTTCATCACTTCGGTGTGCTGCTGCCAGAGGACACGAGCCCTACAAGGGAAAGCATCCAGGAGAGTATGAGTCAGCTAGATCTACAACCAGAGGGCTACCAAGTGGGAAAGACAAAGGTATGCATCCCTGCTGTCTTTTTTAAGTTAACCTAAACCCTCTTATTTTCTATTGGTTGTTTTATCCCAAATCTAGAATTAAAGAAAATTTGTAATCCACTTAAATATGGAGTTCCACAAGGCTTTTTATTCTGCCCTATTTTGTATTCATCAGATATTTAGCTTTTTGTTTATTTTTGGTGGTCCCTTTGCACTGATTCACATCTCTGATAAACATAGAATAAGAAAAACCATTGTTTATTTAAATTCCATATTAAATTGATGAGTAAATGATCAGCTACATCAAACAGGTATCCTATTTATTTTAGATGTGTCCCTGCTCCAACGATGCATTCATGAATAGTTTTGTGCTCGTGTTCAAGCAAAGAAACATCTTAATATCCATCTTTAAAGGCTTACAATATAGGAAAAAAATGTGTTTCAATTTTTTTTTAGTATATTTCAAGGATTTTATCATTTACCTTGGAAACACTACAGTTTTTTGGATGCTGCTAACTTTTTTGACCATGGACAAGAAAATCTGAGGGTTTAAATTCAGTTTTAGGTTGATTATTTGCTATAATTTAGTATTTGCTGGGTAGAAATTGCTAAGGTCCCATCTGAACTACCATCGGGCCTTAGATGCTCCACTCTGTTAAAGCATATGCATGTATGGGAGATTTCTTATTTGTAGTTTAATTTATTGTACCTCTTCACTTGAACTGCTCAGAGGTAAGGACGGGTCAAGGCATGGGGAAAGACCTAGATCTACTCATTTTTATTAACCTTAAGGGCAACTTGATATTAGCACCTAAATCCTAATCTGCTTACAAATGGTTATTCAGAAATAGGAAATGAACATTTGAGTTCATTCAGTGGGATAGATTGTTTTTAATATCAATTTAGCACAGATTGAATGTTTTTAATTTGTTCAGTTTTCTAAATTGAAAAAAAAAGATGCAATAAGATATAACTTCATGTCTGGTGTTTATTTTTTTTGAGTCATAGCTATGAATGAAGTTGACAGGGGGGCTCCAATGCTTTCGGGATGCTGTCTGTATAATTAGAGGATCATGCCGGACATTCTTGTGTGCATATGTGTGTGTGTGTTTGTGTTCCTTTGATTGAACTTGTTTTAAATGAAGGAATGTGTGTTTATCACTTAAGTTGCCTTACTCACAGTATGAGAGTGGGCTCCCCCGGTCTGACTCCATCCCGGTCTTCCACCCCCCTCAGGTGTTTTTACGGGAGGCTGAGCGTCAGCGGCTGCAAGCTGAGCTCCACAGAGAAGTTCTCCGACTCATCGTCATGCTGCAGCAGCGATTCAGAGCGCGGCTGGAGAGGAAGCAGTTCGTTAGGATGAGGGAGGCCGCCGTCTATATTCAGGTGAATTTATCCATCATTGGGGATCTGATCTACAGCAGGTCGGCTTTTACTTTATCTTTATGTCAGTTATTTTTAATTGTATTGTGTTGGAGTTGTTGACAAAGTTGGTCATTAGTTTAGATTTTCATTCTAATTATTATAAGGTGATAACAGGTAAAATCTGTTATTCTATATGATTAAAAGAAGATATAAATAAATTTTTCTGTCTTTGCCTTGTGGGAAACGGGTACAGTGGGATGTAGTTCATAATGAGCATAGTTGGATTTCTGCATCCAAAGGGATGGTCATATTTGAAATCTGTTGCTTTCATTCTCAGCAGTTTTAAATTGGAGTATTTTTGCACGGGTTGAATTTTTTTCTTTCACTTCATAACTTCCTGTAACTGATTCATTTTTTTTTTCTTTTTTATGAGGCAGCTAATTTTTTTTACAGTTGCACAGTTTTTTTGAATTATATTCATTTCCGTACCAAAATACAAAAAACATTAAATATATACAAAAAGATGTAAGATGTGCTGGAGATATTAACAAGAGCTCATAAAGACTTGTGCAAGTTAAGTAAAAAAAAAAAAGGCCAGTTTAAGTTTGCACAGTCTTGATTCCCTGACTGCAAAGAAAAAGTGTGGATTTAGTTTGAGATGGATTGATTTGATCCACCATTGATGCGAAAATAGGAGCCCAAGTAGGAACATGATAAAAAAAAAAAAGAGGGCATGGCCTGTGAAGCAGCATTTGTGACTCACATCAGCAGATGCAGTTTTTTGGGGGGAAGAAAAATCTGATTAAAAAGTGTGTTGATTTTATCAAAGAGAGGGAAATGAATCAATTCTATTACAAATTTCCACAGTATTTTCCTCTGACTTTAAGTTAGTTTCGCACCAGAAATACCCTCATATTTTACCTCTATATTTTACTACATATAGTTTATACTAATTTGTTGTGTAAATTTATACAAGGATTTTGATTTATGGAGCAGTGTCTAAGGAGCTTTATTAATTTCTTGGTACTCATGTGGTACTAGGCCTATGTGTAATTCTGAAACTCTGTGTTATAAGAAACAGTTCTGCTCTACACTGCAAAAACGTTCTAAAAATGAGCAAAAATGTCTTAAAATAAGTGTATTTACCCTTAATTTGAATAGGAAAATAAGATTATATGCCAGTAGAATGAGCATTTCTACCAATAAAATAAGATAATTAGTTATTATGCATTTGAAAGAAGAGACTGCAGTTGTTTTTATCTTATTTTAAATGTAAATGTCCTTTTTCCATTCACAAAGTGACTCTTATCTGCTCAATTCAAGAAAAAAATGAACTTTTAAGAAAAATTGACTTACTTAGACTTACATTGTTTGCATTGTAAGAAGGGAAAAAAGGTTGCTTTGTCATTTAACAACCAAAACTGGTGGAGAATTCATGCAGTTTATGTCAACTATACCTCGTTTAATTATTCCAACGCTTCTTAATTACATTATTAGCAGTGTTTTCATTAACAGAATATGTGATGCAAAAAAACTGTAATTCAACAAATGCATGGAGTGTATAGATCTAACCAATAATTCACTGCCTTACAGAAATGTTGGCGCTCGTACCGGTCCATGAAGGAGGAGGAGAAGTTGTGTGACCCTGGTGTCCAGCAGAGGGCAGCTCTGTGTGTGCAGACACACTGGAGAGGTTACAGAGGGCGTCAGAAGTTCAGGCAGTGGAGAGAAGCTGCACGGGTTCTACAGAGGGCCTGGAGGTTCTGGATCTGTCGGCGCACCTCTGCAGCTGTGGTTATTCAGACGGCGTGGCGCTGCCATCAGACCAGGGCATCCTACCTGCGCCTGTATGCTGCTTTGATTCAGCTGCAGGCAGTTTCCAGAGGTTTCCTCAGCAGGCAAAGGTAGGAGATACTGGAAACTGTTTGGTGAGAGAAGATAACTGTAATACAAGGAGTTGTTGTACATATTTCTGAAAATAGCTTTTAGAGGTAAATGACTGCATATTTTTACTAAAGCTTGTGGAAAAAAAGCAGCTTAATCTTTGCGCACAGCTCCAGCAGTGTATTTGGGCTTTGTTCAGTGTGCAATCAGACCGGTAAGTTCATAGCATGACGCAAGCAAACCAAGCCAAAGCAGCTCTGTAATCAGCTGAGCTGCTGAGAGCAAGTCTTTGTACTGTTAACTCCGACCGTGGTCATTTCTTTAGCTGCTTCAAGTTTGATGCAAATATTTTTCCTTCCTATAATTCTCACAATAGCGACTGAAGAGGAAACGTTGAGATAACGCCATGATTTCTCAATTTGCAGCTTCAGGAAATATAAAGAACAGCGACTGAAGGAGGAAGAGAAGGAGGAAGAAAAGCTGCTTCAGAATGGCCAGGTGAATATCTCGTCTGCAGAGGAGGAGAAGGAGCTGCCAGAGGAGATCATGGGGCTGGACCTCAGCACCTGGGAGGACCGTTCCTATGAGCAGCGGGAAAGGAGCCTCCAGTTAGTCAGTAACAGTGAGACTGCTGTTAAAGAGGAGGAAGAGCAGGAAAAGGCAGAAGCGGGAAGCTCTGAAGTACAAACTGAAGCAAACACTTCAGCCCCAATATCCTCTGTGGCGGTACAGGAGCGGGTGAGGAGGCGTTTGGAGGAGCCAAGCCAGAAAACCACTCGGTCCAAACGAGAGTGCCGGAGGATGAGGGAGTTGGAGCAGGCCAAGTTCAGCCTGGAGCTCCAGAAGGTCCGGGCAAGCAGCGGGGGAGCATCTTCGCCCTCCGAGGACCGCCGCTGGTCTTTGGAGTTTCCCCCCGCTAGCCCAGCTCTCAATTCACCCCAAGGCACGCCTGACAGTGAGAGCTTCAAATATAGCTTTGAGATTCCTGTGATGGATGGAGAGCCGCCCAAGGCTGCAGAGGAAATAGACAATGAGGATCCTTTTTCCCCTGTCCCGCCTATTGCTCCTGGATTTGATTCCAATATGGAGGATGTTTCATCAAGCGTCGAGCCTCCTGAACCATATAAAACGCAGTCAACTGAAGCTACTTTCCCCAAGGAAGCCAGAGCCCAACTAAAATGGATCCACCAGCTGCTTCACATCCGCCCAAAATGCAGAACTACCTGCCTACGTTTTATCTCCCTGCTCGCCAGAGCAGCACCTTCATCTCCCATCCTCCTGCCGAAGAGTCTCTGCCAAACAGAGATGTAACTACAGCCACTGCGTCCAATACAAACCCTTGCAAGGAGCGCCAAGGTTCATCACGGCGGCCGGTGCTGGTGGTCATCAGCATGCAGAAAGAAACCCCGCTCAGCGAGGAGCTGAGCCCTACCATCCGTCCTCCTGTAGAACTTGGAGAGCCTGCAATCCAGACGGGAGATTCTCCGCCACCGTCAACAGAGGAAGCTCCCCGGACTCAGGGTCCCCTCTCTGAGGCCGATCAGACCACCATGAATAAGCTGGTCCGACTGAATGAGGCAACAGAGGAGCGACGGCGAAACCAGCAGCAGCAGAACGAGAAGGAGATGATGGAGCAGATAAGGAGGCAGTCAGAAGTGTTGGAGCAGCAGCGTATGCGATACGCTCAGTGTGAGAAAGAGATGTTTGAGAAGCAGAGAGGAGAGGCTCTGCAGAGGATACAGCAGAGCAGACAAGGCAGACCGGATTCTGCTAGAACCTCCAGCTCCTTCAAAGGTTCCAGACCCAGCTCCCTGCTGATTGAGAAAACTTCAGGCCAGGTTCCTCATGGAAGAACCCAGTCGGACTCCACCCCCCCTCCACCTCACTCTCCAGTCACCGTAACCGCTCATGGTAGCCCCAAGCTCCCCCAGCTGCCACCTCCACCCTTCTCTGCTCCTACAGAGAGACGCAGAGACCACCGACCTGCTGCGGAGGGATGGGCCCCTAAACTCACTCTGGAGAGCAGAAATGGATCAGGAGTCAGAATGAAAGCAGCCGACAAAAAGCCAGAGAAGCAAGAAGGTACAACGGTTAATCTGGCTGACAAACCAGGCAACATCTTCTTCTTCCCAAACGACAAAGTGACATTTCCCACGTAAGTAAGCTGTTCCTTTATTTGCTGGATAGATCTTTTATTATTGACTCCATCATGATTTGCATTCTCCTTATCTGCCTACTTTTGAAGTCAATTCAATTCAGTTTATTTCTATAGTGCCAATCCACAACACGTCATCTCAAGACACTTTACAGTTCACCAGATCATCCAGTCAAATTGATTCAAAGTTTTCTATGTAAGGAAAACCAGTTGATTGCATCGACTCATTGACTCAAAGGCAATCCCTCACACTAAGCATGCTTGAAGAGACAGTGGAGAGGAAAAACTCCTTTTTAACAGGAAGAAACCTCCTGCAGAACCAGGCTCAGTGTGAACGGCCATCTGCCGAGACTGACTGGTGTTTAAGGAGACAGAAGCAGAGATACAAAAAGCAACTTTAAAAGGCGGCCCCATGCAGGAAACACAGCCAGGAAGACGAGCTCTGATCCAGCTCCCATGCCAGACGATGAAGAAACCACATCCAGCCAGTCACAGTCAAAAAAACAGGACTACGGTACACTGAAAAACAGGCCGATCGCCAACATCTATAGACAAAGGTGTTGATGGCAGCAGCACAGCAGTATTTCTCTCCAGGATGATGTCACTGCTAAACAGCGACAGACCAGATAAGGCTACTATGAGAAAAAGCAAAGAGGGCATAACATTGGAGAGTGAACTAACAGATTCTGCAGAGTGGGAGAATAGAGATAGAATTAAGCAGAGTGATGAAATAGGGGTCCCTATGTCCTCTAGCAGTCTAAGCCTATAACAGCATAACTATAGAGATAGCTCAGGATAACCTGAGCCACTCTAACTATAAGCTTTATCAAAAAGGAAAGTTTTAAGCCTAGCCTTAAAAGTAGACAGGGTGTCTGCCTCACGGACTAAAACAACTCTTAGTTGGTTCCACAGGTAGCCTGACGTAGTCCTACTCAATTCTAGTCAGAATATGAGTCTGATACTGCTCCATAGAGCTGTGATTATGGGGCGTGTTTTGAACGAACCAGGAAAAAAAATGCCTCTGCACTCAATTGGATAGACCTACAACCAATAAGAGCAACGGAGTGCGTGACGTATGTTAAGCAACGCATAGTTGTTGTCAACAAAAATCAAAGTGTGCAGTTTCACGCCTAGAATAAGAAGATGAGCCTTGATCGCGTTTCTCTGTTCCTCTTTTAAAATTAATTTGCTGTCGATATCTTCTAGAACAGACCTAATAGCAGAATCTACTCACCTAAACTCTCCAGCGGCAGCCATTGTTGTTGTCACCAAAGCGCGCTTTGGTCACGTGGTTGATTACGTTACTGTTGGTCATCTGTCCATCATAGTATAAAGCCCGCCCTGACAATTTGATTGGATCACCTGACAGTGGGCGATAATACTCGCGCTACTATGGAGCAGAGCCAGACCGAACTTCCCGACCTCAAACCTTGTGGGCGGGACTAAGTTCGGAATGGCACCCAGGCTATTCCACAGGAGAGGAGCCTGATAACTAAAAGATCTGCCTCCCATTCTACTTTTAGAAATTCTAGGAACCACTAGTAAACCTGCAGATTGAGAGCAAAGTTCTCTGTTAGGGACATAAGATACATCAGCTGTGACATTAAATGAGCTGCAACATCCATGAAATTTTTAATAAAAGCTTTTTGGTTTCTGCATATTTACATTTTATTCATAGCAATAATTTTAGAATATAAGTATTGCTCTAGAGCAGAAGCTAAAGAACACAGCCTCCACCGTACAGATTCACTAGCAAGATGTAAAGCATCCTTATGTGAATTTGAACCCTGAAAATGTCCGTCAGACTTATTGGAGTCAAAAATTAGGACGGTGTGAGTTTATGGCTCAAGTGAAGGATTTCAGGATTTTGGGTTTTTTTCTGAGGTAAGAACAAGATCAAGCCTGAATACAGACTGAATATTAATTTTGTATGCTCTAGTCTGCTGTGGGGAAGAAAGCTCTAGATTTGCTGGTTCATCTGTTTTCAACTGTCACTATACCAAGGTGTTTACCACCCTTCTTTTAACAGGTCATCACATTCCAACCATAAACTGCAGTATCTCTCCAAGATTTCATGTCATTGACAAATAAAACTAGAGCAAATACCTCAATTTAAAGCACTTCCTTTAAACTATTAGCAGATACAACGAAAAAACTATCTAGAAATAAGTCTACATTTCTTAAATTAAGTGTATTTACCCTTAATTTGAGTAGCTAAATAAGATGATTTGCAAGTGGAATGATTCGTTTTACTCTTAAAATTAGATAATATGCAATTAAAATAAGACAATGCACTTCTGTTTTCCTATTTTATGATGTAAATTGTCTTGTTCCATTGGCAAAGTGTCTCAGTTACCTCCTTAAAAATGCACTTATTTTGAGAAAAAAAAATACTTATTTACTTCTTATTTTCTTCCAGTATAGGGTTTACACTGCAAAAATCTAAATACCGGTAGGTCATTTTTACTTAAAGTGATTTTTTTTATTTTATTTTTTAATGAGGAGGTGAGGCACTTTGACAATGGAACAACACAATTTACATTTAAAATATGAAAAAAGAAGTGCATTGTCTTTTTTTAAGTGCATATCTAATTATCTCATTTAAGAGTAAATATATTAATTCCATTGACATTTCATCTTATTAACCTACTCAAATTAAGGGTAAATACACTTGATATTAGAAATGTTGACTTATTTCTAGATTCTTTTTGCAATGTAGTAGTTCAGCTCAGTTCTGAAAGGCTAAAAACTTTGTTTGAGAACATCATTTAACAAACTGCATCATGAATATCAAGGAGCACAGAGCCAGGTCTAGGAGGGAGTCATGAAGGAGCCTAAAGCAAGTTTATATATTAATCCAAGGCCTTTATCCTTCAGTTAACCTCCAGAGGACCAATTAAGAATCTGCTGCAAGACCTTAATACTCTTATTCTAAAAAGATTGAGCTGTGATGTAGAGAAGAATTGGTAAAAATGTTACAGCAGATCAATGGATGGTGTTTCATTTTAATTTAGATAATGAGTGGGTTTTTTTTTATATTCTAATCTCTTTTGTCCATTAAGAAATATGAGTGAATTCTCCTTTAAGACTCATAGTTTTGTTATTTCTTCTTTTATCTATCAGATCCGACGCTGACGCTGTCTTTAAGGAACCAGCTGTACCTGTCCCCAGAGAAGGACCCACACCAGCTTTGAAGTTTTCTAAAGGAATAAAAGCTCGTGATGTGAGAACTCACTCTTTTTTTCATCTGGGGTTTAGATGGTGTGTTTGTGCACGTGTAGGTTTTGTGTGGTGGATGACTAAATGTTGCAGGAGCAGCTCCAACTGTTGCCCCTGTAGCCGAGCAGCTGAAGGACCCAGGGAGGATGGTGGACATCGGTCCAAGAAGCTTTTCTTCATACTGTTTTCACGTGTGGTAAACTCCAGGTCAGCAGCGGGGGCCCAAAAAAGAAAGCCAGAATGGCGCGCACCCGCTCCGACTTCCTCACCCGCGCTTCCAGCCTCGCAGCTGCCGGCGATTCAGACGAAGACGACTACGATGGCGACAGCCTCACCAGCCCGCGCCATTACACGCTGCCCCTGTCCAAGCAGACCTCCACAGAGGCGGGCCGAGGGGAGGCCTGTTTCAGTGACTCAGACATGGTAGCCTCCACGCCACCGGTGGCCCTCTCTGCTAAAGCCTGCCATCTTTTTGACTTTTCTAACCCAACCGCATCTCACATCTGCCTCCAACTGATCTCATTTCTGCTTTCCTTTGCTTTCCCCAGATACTGAATCTATTTCTTTGCTTTTTGTTTAATCTCAATGTTAGTGTTTGAAGACCAGAATCTATTAAAGTTCTGAAACCTCTTCATTTTCAGCTTTTGTACGGGACCTCTCTTAAAAGTACTTTTCTAGAGATTTGCTGACTTTTGTCTTTTCTTTCCTTAACAGCTGCGGTTTCTCTCCTTGTTTATCAATAATAAGCTGTGTTTGCATGTAACTCAGAGGCACTTTTTCTCTCTAATCAGACTTTGGAAATCCTCTTAAAAGGAACATAATCATCAGCCTGTGCTTAACAAATTATTTTTCTTCTTTGAGAGCTTTGTTTCTCTTATATGGTGTAAAAGTTTCAGTGTTTGGTTGCTGTTTTATTCCCATTTCTCTAATAAAATGATGCTTTCAGCATTAGGATGGCGCCATCTACTGGCCCTTTAGTATCTCAGTCATGGCCAGAAGTTTTGTCAAAGGCACAAATATTATGCTTGGTTTTGCTTTATTGGATCCAAACGAGGAGCTGATTTTGAGCTTTAAAAATAAACTGGTGCAGCATCATGCTCGGAGGATGTTTTTTAATTCTACTGTTTAATGCAGGAAGTTTAAAGCTTTAATATGATTTTTAGCGTTATCTGGCCTAATGAGAAGATTTTTCTTGGTTCTTCGCATTTTGATTAATTTCTTTCTTTCTTGTTCATTTCAGAAAGTGAAATGTGAATCTGAACGGTTAATCTCTCCTCTCCCCTTCTTGTTCTGATTCAAAGTTGAACCAGAACTGCAAGAGTTACATTATTTTGAGGAGGAGACTGTCCTTTCTGGACTTAATCTGACTGCAGCCACGGTTCAAGTCATGTGAAGTGTCTCCAAATCCATGGATGCACTGCAAAACAATCTAGAAATAATTGGGGTTTTTTTTATCTTAAATTAAGTGTATTTACCATTAATTTGAGCGGGTATATAAGATGATTTGTCAGTGGAATGAGTATTTTCACTCTCAAAATAAGATAATTAGATAATATGCACTTGAAATGAAATTGTTTTTTTTTCTTATTTTAAATGTAAATTGTATTGTTCCATTGGCAAAGTGTCTCACTCACCTGCCAAATTCAAGAAAAAATGCACTTATTTTAAGGAAAAAATTTGTTATTTAGATTTACATTTTTTTGAAATGTGGAAATACCTTGCACTGGAAAAACAATCTCGAAATAAGTAAAAAAAATTGTAATTTATCCTTAATTTGAGTAGGTAAATGAGATTGAATGAGTATTTTTACTCTTAAAATAATATAATTAGATAATATACACTTGAAATAAGATGATGCAATTGTTTTTTTCTTATTTTAAATGTAAATTGTCTTGTTCCATTTGCAAAATGTCTCTTTTACCTCCTCAATCCAAGAACAAACTCAAATCCCGGTGTTTTGAGTTAATTCACGTATTATTATGTGACACTGCAGGTTTCATTTTTGTGTTTCCATCATCCATTAGTCAAAACTTGACCAAATTACCAGAACTAAACGCTGGGAATAGTTCACTTTTAGATAAATCTAGATCTTATCAAGTGGTAATGCTTATGCATTCCCACTTATTGTTTTTCTGTTTCTCTTTATTATTATTATTATTATCAAGTGGGAATGCTTATGCATTCCCACTTGATAATAATAAGACTCCGGGGACCCTTCAAAATAAAAGCCCCTAAATTAAACTTTAATATTTTTTTCCCAGCATATGGCTCAACATTATGACCCAAACTCAACCACTTTTTTAAAAAATGAGACTCTAGGGGGTTTTCAAAACACACCCCACAGAAAATTTCAAAATAAAAGCCTCCCATTGCCACTCTATCTACTGCCCTAATAACAGGGGAAAAGAGTGATTTAACGATTAGAAAGTCATCAAGTATCACTGCTGGATCTGACCCTTTTCTCAACACACAACCCTGCTAGACTTTCAAAATAAGACTCAAGTGACTCTTCAAAATAAAAGCCTCCATATTTTACTCGTGTATTAATTGATGCAAATGGCCCAGCATTATAACCCAAACTCTACCAGCTTGTTTCTATTAGACTCTAGGGACCTTTTCAAAACATACCCAAGAGCAAATTTCACAATAAAAGTGTCACATTTACCCTCTAATACAGCATCTATTCACCCAATAACATGGAAAACCAGTGATTTCATATTTGGAAATGGATTCTATATCACTGCTGGGCATGACCCTTCCCTTGACACACATCCATGATAGACTTTCGAAATAAGACTAAAGGGACTTTTCTTACATACACTCATTCATTGTGCCGTATGGTTGGTAGCTATGACCCAAACTCAACCAATTTCTTCAAATTACACTACCAAGGCCTGTTGACGACACACCTTAGTGCATATTTCTTAATCAGGTTCTAAGATTTACACTGTAATAAAGCATCTGCTAACCTCGTAACATGCAGCCTAAGCCTGCCAACGGTGCTGTCATCAACACAGCGGCTCGTAACATGCAGGTTCAATTTTTTGATAAATTCAGCTCCTTAAGTGGTATTAGCTCTCTTTCTAAAAGCTTCTCTCTCTGTCCTTCCTCTGCTTGTCATGGTCAGTCTTGCACATAGGTTTTTAGATTTTCAATCCTCTAAGGATGACGCTGTTTTCTTTATGCTGATCAACCGACACATTTTAAATAATTTCTAATTGTTTTGCCAAGTCTTGACATTTCCACAATTTCTAAATTTTGATACTTATTCAATACCATCTTCCTCAACATTTTACTGCCCATCCTTGAGCTACTCATTTTTTCTTCAACCAGATAAGATTCAAGTTTTTTTTTGTAATTTCTTTTCTGATTCAGCTGATTTAATACTTTTCAGCCTATGCTGAGAACTTTGGCTTCATTCTGCTCTCTTTCTGGACATGAATTATGCTTTTCTGTTTGCTACTAATTCATAACACACCTGACATGCTTCTGGAAAGTAGGTAAACCCCGCTTAAAAATTTCTTTAGAACTTTTTCTAGAAACTTGGGAGACATTATATTAAAAACCTTCTAATGCACACATTAAAGACATTTTTTTATATTATGTATGGTTTGGCTGTGCAGCTTTTAAGATGAGTTTGTTTCTGCCATTTTACTGCCAAATGATTCTACCCTACAAAATCTTCAGATGATTCAATTGTTTTCTGCATTTTGAAGTTTCTGATGACTTCCTATCACATTTGCATATGTTCTGCAGGTAATTTCAGCTTTTTTAATTCAGCAAAAGCATTCCCACTTTGATGTTTCTCCGAAACAGCTTTTTCTAGTTTTATTTAGAGATGGGTAGTAACTAGTTACATTTGCTCCGTTACATTTACTTATGTTTTTGGAAAAAAAATTATACTTTTAGAGGTAGTTTTAAAGCATTGTACTTTTTTACTTTTATTTGAGAAAAAAGTGATAAAGTATTAACTTTTTCATGAGTAAAATCTCTGGCTCCTCTGCACCGACACTAACTTAACTTAATAAAAAACAGCTTTTTTAGACAAATGTCCATTAAGGAGAAATACTTTGTTTTTTTATATAGTCAAGGGTTAATTGTTTAATGAAATTTTCCATCTGCTAAGTCTGCCGTTTCATTTAGAGGTCAAGTGAAAATACTGTCGCTTGGATAGCATAGAATTGCTCATTCTACAGGTTTGTTGTTGTGTCTGTGGAACCGTTTTCAGTTCCCTATGAAATATTCAAAACAAAAAGTTTAATTTGAATTATTTTGAATGTATCTTTGTACCTGAATTGCGGCGTCTGAATTAGGGACTCTGTTTGATGTTAAAAATTTGATGTTGAAACCAACAGGCTGATGCAAGCAAAGACAAAGATATATTCTCAATACACTCTGAGAATGAAGCTATAAATGCTTTGATGCTTGAAAAATAACTGAAGTTTAACTTTTGACTCAGCTATCGCTTAAATTATTAATATGTTTCTTGAGTGAATACCTAAACAGAGCATTTTTGTGGTATTCTCTTGCATCGAGAAAACAATACTTGGCAATTTTTATGATGACTTACACTTACAGTATTTGTGGTCACCATCCCGCTGCATTGGCCTTAATGCATGCTAAATTCACAGCAGCATCTTTTTTTGTGAAAACAGTATGGAAGGCTAAATATGTCATGGAAAATGTTTTTTTTTTAAATATGTAATGAATAACTGCACCATTTAATCATAAATCTAAAATTATCAAAATAATGTAGCAATATGACATGCAAAACTAAATAAGTAAATTTGCCATCAAATAATGAAACATACATTTGAAATCATAGCATAAAAAAAAAAACTTACTTTACATATATATTCAATTATCGCATTCTTTATTTATCAATATTGAGACATCTGAGTGGCAAACATTATGATTATGGAATCACCCAATTCAGAGGAAATGACTAGTTTTGTCATGTCTGGGATCTGCTTTTTTCTACAAATTTAAACGATATATATACATACATATATAACACAATTTAGACAAGCTAATTAACCTAAATTCTTTTTTGGTCAGCCGGAGCACCCGGAGAGAACCCATGATAAGAATATAAAGAATATATATAGATATATATCTATACATATCTATCTATCAATTGATCGATAGATATGATTAAAAATAAAAAACATTTTTGGAAAACTATATATGAGGGGGGAAAATAAACGTGCAGAGATTAAAAAGAACTTTAAAAATTAAAATAATATATATGTTTGATATATTCTATAAATAAAAAACAGATAAAAGCATGAATTGGTAGAACAAAACACCATTCAGATTAAAGCAAGTGAGCTGGTAACTGGCATCTTATTTTAGACACAGGAGGAGTAATTTCAGGCAATTTATTTTTCTTTGGTGATTTCAATTTTCTAATCTCATCTTTC